CTTCATTGCGAATGAACTGCAGTACGTGTTATGACCTGGCTGTGCTTGTCTACCAGGGTTATAAAAGTTTTCTGGCCTCAAATAATTCAGTTCATTGCAGTTACACTCAAAAGCATCCTTCAAGAATGTGGGCTACTCAAAGTAAGATAAAGATAACTTGTGCAGGTTGAGGATTAGTCCTATCTAAGTCTCTTTTATATTTTATTATTATGTCCTTCAGCTGACCATTATAGATAAGTGACTTCATGAAACTGTTCGTAAGGTTTGATCTTAACAAAACTGAATTATAACTCGACGCTACTGGAACACGTTAGCCTGTATGAACAACTAAAAAGCTAAAGGTTTTTAAGTTCAGTGTATTTTAAGTGTTGAAAGGTGTGATTTTCATTTCATCATGGTTCCTGTATTGGCATGTGTGACACTGAGGGCTTTTCACTACAGATTAGTCAGTCAATTATCAGTGGAGACAGAAATGCCTTAGTGAGGTCACCAAGATGGAACACATAACTGTCAACATGCAACATGGAGGGGGATGAAAATATTTCCAAAAAGTAATACCTCTCTTTTCTCTCAATTCATAGTATTATGGTGCTTATAAATAACTAGGAGTAGTAAAAGAATAGTGACATCACAAAAAGTCAAAAGAACTGAATGCCAGATGTTGAAATGCAACGTCATATCTAACAAATTTTATGGAGTGTAAGATTAATTTTTGAGTGCTGTCAACGCAGAAAGGTCTAGTCTGTTCCAATGTCCAAATACAACAAGTCTGACCCAAAAAGACTTGATTTGTGGGAGGGGAAATGATAAGTTGTTGATTCTGGCTCTGGGAATATTTCACTAAGATTGATAGATACTCAAAGGGGAATGTGGGACTTGATTAAGATAGATTTAAGTATTATTAAGTCAAATGGAGGAGCTGTCAACTGGTAGTCTGGAATGAAAGGTTAAGGCACAAAGTTTGCAAGATCACAGGTTTGGAACCTGATCAGTGACGCGATGTGAGCGTCAGAGCAAGCACCGTAAGAGGACAAAATAGAGGCTGGGAGAAGGAGGGAGGTGGAAGGACAGAGGACTATGTATAAAACTATACAGTCTTTTAAATAGACCCATCACTGTGGTCAGTTGTAATCATCGCCTGTTTGAAAAGCATCTCTGGGGAGGCAGGAGGCAGCCACCCGTTGATGCTGTTCCAGGAGTTGCATTCTTCCACGAAAAAGGTTTTAATATAGATTAGCTGTCCGGTCATCTTGCTGTAGTCACAGCACAAACTTCACCCCACGTGATTACCAATTCTTCAAAACCTGTTTTTATCTTTACAGACTTTTCTATATAAAGCTCTGGAGGAAGGATTTATCCAGTGATGACATTCAGATGCACAATTATGGACTGAGCATAGAACAGAATCCAAATAAATTCAAATTCTCATGAAATGTATGTATAAACAGGGACCCTGAATATCTAAAATGTATTACTTCTATCAGCATATAAAAATATTTGATTTAAACAACAGAGATACTTGAACCCCCAACCTTAAATAACGTCAAATCTAAATGATCTATCCCGGCATAAAGTTGCAGTTTATACTTTGAGTCTCTGAAATGTCCATTATACATTCTTTACACACTTATATACCCAGGAGCTCTTAAAACAGGGGTACAGATGGTCATGGGAGCTGACCTGTGAAATGGTGCATCTATTCTCGGAAGCTTAATGCACACGCTCCACTGGACTGCCCTCACTTAAATTATTTTAGCAGTGGATCCTGTAAATGGGCTGCTTTCAGAAAGGTTTAAATATTGATTTGCTGTGTTGTAAATTTAACTGGGAAGAGACAGCAGCTATTTTCTGTCTCTACACATGAGGTTCTTGGAAATCCTTTGATCCGTAAAACAAGTAAATGGATTTCACAATAAATAGTCCTAATGAGGATTAACTGTAACTGGGGTGCTTCTGCGGGCTGTTTTCTACAAAATCTTTTCAGCAGCCTATCCATTAAATGTTTTCTTCACTAACAGGCATGTTTGCTTCACTAAGGGAGACTACTGCTTATGAAGGCAATTGTGTGTCCTAACTGTTACACTTAACGCTTCCATTACTCTCTTTAAGCCTATCAACAGCTACTTGTCCCTGAAGAAGACCCTCACCTGAGTTCTTACGGATATACACTCTGAATAAGAGAATCAGCATGCATATTTGCCTCATCTGATCTAAATTTGACTGTTGTAATGTCCAGCTGTTTTGCTGCTATGGATTACAGTGTACAGCTGTGTATTATTTGGAATGGATAGCTTTAAGGTATTGCAGGCTACCAATAAATATACTTCAGGAGAACTTAGCAACTCCTCTCTTTCACAATGCCTGCTTTTACAAAAAAAAGTTTTCCTTTTTTCTCTAAATATCTCCTTTTATGGACTATGTCAAACTGGAATGCCGTAGTAAAATGTTTCACTGGCACTTTGTGAAGAAGCAATCATGGCCTAATCTTTTTTATGCTGTAAAAGAAAAGAAAAAGAAGTGGTGAGAACAATTTGCACAAACAGCAATCACTGGGCCGATAGCTCAGGACGTACAGTTGTGGTTATAACTACTCAAACCTATGATTCAATACTTGTACAATGTGACAATACCGTGGCTACGACTTGTACAAAAAATGAAACACACAGTATATTCACATATGTATATAGCTTAGAGGTAGCAGCTGTTTGGGTAAGTGTGGTTTGGCAGTTGTGCTGCGTTCTCTAATAACCCCTACTCTGTGGTACCTTCTCAGAACCGACTCTATGGTTAAAAAGGCAGGGGGCCATTGTGTGTGTGTGTGTGTGTTTCTGTTGTGTGTGCCAGTGTAAATGAGTGTATGTGTGTATGTGTCAGTGATTCGCGGTGAGAACCACTGCCCTTCATCACCATAAACTGGATTTAATAGGTCGGATAAGATTAGGGTTTGGTTTGATTTTTGCATCTAGACTGAACTATATTGTTTGAGGAGTGAGTCACATCTTACATAAGATCTAACAGTCACAGACAAACGTAACAGAGAGGCACATAGATACAGAGAGAGAGAGGCGGGGGGTGGAGAAAAACAAACAGGAAGGTATGAAAGGATGAAAGTATGAAAGTATGATAAGAATGAGCGGGGCAGAGAGGCAGATCTAGATAGATGAATTGTTGAGTGACATCATATAGACTGGCTGTCATCAACTCTCAAGTTGTCTTAGTGTGTGTAGATTCATTCCCATGCACTGCATATCAATATCACCCTACATTCAGTCTCCCGCTCTCCTCCTCTTTCTGTCCTCTGCAAATCTACATTTAGTTAAATAGTTAAATAATGGCCACTTTTTAGTCAGTTCCTAAACCAGATGCACTGCTGTTCTGATATACAATATTCTTGTCTGCCACTTAACACATTGCTTTGGATACAATTGGACCCATGGCATTTTAAGACATTTATATGCAAAACAAGATAGATGTAAATCAGCTATTGAAAACTGTATTATTATTATTAAATTATTTTACTCTCATTCACTTTGACTTATTGAAAAAAAGGAGCTGTAATTTTTTATGTGATCTGAGCCTAAACTTATCCATAAATATGAAAGCACACCAGCACACTAAGCACTCATATAATCCACTTACTGTGCACTTCACTGTCTTAAGCAGACCTAACAAACATTTACTATATCAGCACCTAAAACTGCACCAGTGGTTATTCACGCTCCTTCCAACATCTTGAAACCTCAAACCATATAACTGTCATTGTGATGCAGCAGTAAAGGTCAGAGTGGGCTACTGAGACAATTATAGTTTAGTTACTGCCAACTTCTCTGGGAATAAGAAGACTTTCACTGACCAACATTAACATCACCATTTATTTCCATTTATCATCTTTTTTCATATTGGCATGATTTCCTTAGAATAATTTGTTTTGCACTACAAAATATTTTTCTCATAATTTGTTATTGCAGATGTGACAGCATCCACATGTCAATATTCGAGATTGTGTACACAGAGTTGCTTTTGTATAACATTAGCTTCTCTTTCTTTCTTTTTCTATTTCTGACTTCTGTCTGTCATTTTTTCTCTCAGCTACTCAGATAGCATATTCCACAAGTTGGAGTATGTGTACACACTCACAAACACAAACACAAACACATATACACACGCATAAACACACCACTGTGGTAAGAACACATGGCTTTAGTTAGTAGGAAAAGTATCACATCCAAATTAATGACAAAAAAATGGCAACCCAAAGCGGCCCCAAGGGGGATTGGCACCAGACCTGGCAAGCCATTCGTCATCAGTCTCATGTTGCCATAAGTCCGTACACTGCCAGTTTTAGTAATGTGTGTGTGTGCTTAGAAAACTTAGAAAAGGATTATCATGTTTCAGGATCATACTATAGTCAAAGCGATGAGGGAAACATACAGTGTTTGTGTGAACTGAAATGTGTGAATGAAGAGCAGGCTGGGAGGGCAACGAGAGGTAAGCCTAGAAACCAAGGGACCATCAAGTTACTTGTTCAAGCGGAGGGAGTGAAGCCAAGATCTGTGTGCCAGAACTTTGATTGCTGCGCTTTCACTACAGACAGTGAAGTGGTATGCATAGAGAGTGAGAAAAGGTTTCCTGTGTGGTCAATACACGACAGATGGCATATGATTCAGTTGAGCTATCACAAATGTGGCGGTGGGGGTTGAGTCAGGGAGACACTGGAAATGCAGCGAGGTGGTGAAAAGATGGAGAGGAGGATGAGAGAAAGAGGGGGAAGGAAAGAAGCACGGAAATCAGTTTTCATCTTTTTAATTACTTATCGGCCATATGGCATCGCTGGGCTGCTATTCTGCAGCTGCACTGTGATGAATCAGTGTACATGTGTGGAGATAAAACAGGGACACATGCTAGTATCGCATAATAAATAATACTAAAAAGTGTGTTGGAGTAGACCTATCGTCATGTGTTTGTGTCTGTCAAAGGGTGTGTGCGTGTTTTAGTCTTACCCTGGAGATGGTGAGGGGCATGTTGAAGTCCTTCCCTCCCTGCAGCCTGAAGCCCCAGGGGGCAGGGCCTAAGAGAGTGGCGCTGTAGTTGCTGCTCATGGTCTCCTTGATGATGCGTTCTGTGTTGATGTTACTGACAAGTGATGAGGTTGAAGACAGGAAAATATGTTGCAGATCAGGTGATGATAATGATGTCACTGGGTTTTGATGATGATGAAGATGATGGTCAGAAATGCTATGGCTCCACTTAAGATGTTGTTCCAAGATCTGAGGAAGATATGAAGGAAAAGCATACATTACATTTGCTATTGCGCGTTTATCCAAAGAGGGGTCAAGAGGACAATGCAAGGAGAGGAGATGAGAAGAGAAAAGGACATTTAAAAAAGACTATATAATATTATCAAATATATCAAAACAAAAACTATAGTTACAGCCACTTTAGGTAAACACACAATGGCCATGGTAAAATGCCATTATACAATTATACATTATATAAAAATAAACACACGCAAATTTTTTCTGTCTCACTAGAGTATGCTGAAGCAGTTCAGTAGCATAAAATACTTACAATACACCCCAGGAAACCCTCATCAGGGGACAATTACACAGCTAACATTAATATAACTGTTGCACATACTATGTAGTGATATCATTATGTCAATGGAAAGGCCGTACCTGTTTAATGGAAATTCCAGAGAGTAAAATAATTCTTTCACAAGCAGGTAGACAATGTAATCCCTAGTTTCCCCTGGACTGTTCCCTTCCCAGCAAACACACTGTATGTGTGTGAGAGAGGTGGAGAGGGATGCAATGCTCTTATATACCAGCTAATGACAGAGGGGAGGGGAAAGGTGGAGGAGGGGAGAGAAGAAGAGGGAGGCGAGAGAAAGAACGGGTAGAGGTTAGGTTGGGAAGGGAACTAGGAGGAGAAAGAGGAGGGGAATCGCCCATGGGTGGAGTGAGTGGAACACAGAAGAGGAGGAGAAATGAAGGAGATGATATGAAGTGGGAGATTAGGGGATGGGAGGAGACAACACCGAGGGGGGAGAGGAAAAGAGGGGGTGGGATAGGGATTAAAAAAATAGTGTGGGAGCACTGCACACAAAGAAAATGATAAGGGGAGGGAGGGGAGGCATGGGAGAGGGAGAGCAGGGCAAGGGAGAGGGGGGCGGTTTATCTTTCACCCGGATATTTTGGGAACATGGACTGCGAGCTGCTTCATTTGAGGCGGAACCAGCAGTGACCAGATCACGCCAGCGCCTAAGGCTTCAATTAAAAGGTCTTTCAAAGTTTACCTTTAACTATTACATCGGGCTGATTGTGATTGGACACAAGCTCAGGGTCACCTTGTTCAACTCCTGTAACATGGTGGTTTCACTGCTGCTGCACTGACGCTCCAACTATAAGACTTTGAGAGAAGCATTTTGGAAAATCAATGCAAGGTTGAGATCGTCACACTAATGCATTATTAAATCACTACTAAATTGGCTCTGTCACTTTCTTTTTAAATACTATTCTCTATCCTATAGTTCCTTTGTCCTAAACTAATTATCTTTATTTACTGGTGTGTAAATCTTCAATGTTGTTTCATGCCTCTACCTCTCCCTCTATAAACATTAAAGAACCAAGCATAACAAATCAAGTGATTTGTACTACCCTCAGTCTCTGTACGTTCTGCTACAGAGATGTATATTTTGTTTGATGTAAGCAATCTAGTGCAGAACAAGCATTATTTATTTCAGTTTACTCATTATTTATGTACCAACAGCTGACAAGTTCTTCTCCTTCTGCACTGGCTTCTGTCCATTGCCATTTTCTAGCCCAGACAGATCAATATTGACTTTGTATTTATAGTAGTGGCTCAATCAAACACTCATCCCATTACTTTCTTGGCCATGACTACACACACACACACACACACACACACACACGCACAGGCAGTACATCTTGCCAAGTCGTAGCTCTGAACTGTGTTGTTATAGCAGCCTGAGTTCTCAGTCAAAAGGTGATTTCCCATGAAAAAGCAACAAATATCAGAGATGGAGAGGAGAAGCTTGAGAAAAGAAGATGGACATGAGCTTAGAGAAGAGGAAGGTGGCTGGACAGGGAGAGGAAAATCTCCAAGATAGATTAAAAGAAGATAGAGATACGGAGAGAAAGTGCACATATGACTAAGATGTAGATAGGGGGAAGGAAGCAGGCTAGGTCAGGCATTTGACCTTTGCACAATGAAACAAGCTGAATATTACATACGATGTGCCTCTAACACGGAGATAACATCATGATAGATACACAGTATGAGAAGATTAAATACTCACAAAGTCACACACATAAACACAGGATGCTCTTCATTAGCCTGCTAATATTTGTTCCCACAGTGAATCTAACAAAGACAGCGCACACTTCTCCAGCACAGCCAAGTTAAACAATAGCAGAGATCCTGGGAAGAGCAGAGACGGAGTCATTAACCCTGTTTCCGCTGCAGAGCTGAGGGGGGAAAGATCTAAAACTTTACAGCAAATTAAATTACAAGAGGCAGAGTGTTTCTTCGAAGCTATATCACAGATGGTTGCTCATACCTGTTGTAAAAAGGACTAAAAGCATCTTTATACAGGGAGATGACATGGATAATGAGTAAGTCCTGGTTAGCCTTGTTTGATGATATGGTGAACACAATTTGACCTAACCATTCTCAGGCCTGTTTGCCCCAGTAGAAACCAGATTAATTGCTGCAGTCTCTGTTGTTAAATTAATTAAAAACACCGCACACTGCTGATTAGTCACTTGTTGTTCATATGTTGTATCCTGCAATAACCGACGACAACAACAGGGGTATCAGGGGTATCCAAGGTAAACAAAACAACAGGACGTCAGGTACTAATATACACATATTCCAAATAAAAATAAAGTCTAGGTAAAAAGAAGTCCTCATACTGCAATGCATTGTTTTTCTTCTCACCTCATGATTAAGGTATGGTTTGGTTGGGAAACTAAAATGGTTAAGGCAAATGGTGATGACAAATATAAAGAATATTTTTGAAGTAATGTTTTGCAACTAAAACACTGGGTCAAACAATTAAAGTTGAAAGACGCCAACACTAGCTGCTCAAAAGTCATTCACTTCTCCTACCTTCACATCTCTTTATTTTAGGCTTTGCTATAAGAACATTACATACACTATCTATTACTCACTGACACTGAATATGAACTTTTTCAAACTTTAAAGCAGTGGGTGCTTTGTCTTTCTTATGGGGCTTGATTGTGTAAAATGTCCCACTATGGCAATAATATTCAGCAGGTTTACAGTCACTATAAGGACTAATGCTGAGGACCTGCTAGCTAGTTTGACCTGTTTAGAGCTACTTTGAATTAAATGTGTACTATAGACGAAGCTTTCTCACAGGATCAAGTATGTTTTAGGAGTACTGCAACACAAAACATTTGCTTTTGGATGACCATTTTAAACTTAACGGCATATTTTGAGAATAGGTGAAAGCTGAAAAGGTCCTGTAAAGACAGGGATTAGATGTATAGTTTTCTACCTGATAAGGATACAAACAAAACATTCTAAGTAACAACCAAAAAGTTGATTTAATCAAAATGTAAAATAATAAATTAATAAATAATTGTAAACTTCACTGTATCACTAAACAGTGTCCTATTCCCATGTCCCATGGATAGATAATTTCTAAAATACGGGCCCTCTCATGGGCCCACCAGTCGATTTCACTGTCTTAAGACATACGATCAATTGCTTGTATTGTCAAAAATAGCCAATGGCCAAAAACTGCAACAGAGACAACAAAGGTGATTTGTGGGCCACAGGATAATGATATCAAACTCTAATAATAGAGAGTGTGCTACAGCACAAAACCTCAGACACCCTGACAGTCCTTTGTTCTGTCAAATGGTCTATTCCAGTCCCCATATGCTCACCTCTCCCCATGCTTAATGATCACAGTTTAGCAGCCCCCAGCCACACACACACACACACACCCTGAGACAAGCTCTACCCCTTAATGGTATGATAATCTGCCCCTCTAAATGACATTTAATGCATCATCCACGTGAAGGAAAGGGGGACACCAGCCCCATAGCGTGCCAGCTGCCCACTCACACACACACACACACTCTCTCACAATCACAACCTGGACACAAAGACACAACATTCATACAATCTCTGTTGTGTATGAATCATCAAGACAACAGCTGTAGTCTGAATAGCATTCATTCTAAATTTGTTTAAAATACTTTCAGTCAAATATTTAATATTCAAAATATAAATACACCATAAATATTCTGTGGTTTATAAATGTACTAAAATGTGCTAAAAAGTAGAAGTTATTTTGTATGTAACAAAGAGGATGATTATAAAATAACACAAAATAAATAACACAATACACTTTATTGTCCCAGTCTTGGACTCAAATGCTGCACACATATAACTAGCTGCACCCACAGTAGTACATAATAAAACAACGTAAACAAAGCAGCACATACACAAATTACAAATAACATATACTGCACATTACACATATTGCACAAATTAAGACATGGGGGGAAATGTGCAGCATGCCAGCCTAAATAACCCACAGTGATGGGGTACACGCAGAATAACAAAAAACTCCATAATCACACAAATTATTCTGAATACAAAATGTGCTTTCACTTACAGTTAACACACACTCATCTACAGGTAGACAGACAAACATGTGTAAGGTTTGTTTATATTGGGGAGACTATCCATCAGCCATCTAATCAGTCTGACCACTCTAGACTGATTTAAGCCTAACTAATCCCACAAACCATCTCTTTAAATACTGCACAGTCAGGGGTAGGGTCAGTGCAGTTGCCTTTTCTTTTCTTTTATTCATGGGCTTAAAATCTGCCTGCCAAACCAGTAATGGTAGGTTTCCAGCCAGTTAAGTATACATTAATGCATATTAGTTATTAGTAAAATTCCTTTTATTAAGTATACAGAAACCTGACAAACCAACACTTGGGAGTTTTTCACTGCTGTTCATAGATTGTTTCCACAATCACCTGTTATCGCATTCAGTGTAATACATTGTTCAGCCTTAGATGTCGGCAGTGATTTTTATTGTTCTGGTCAAGGAAACCAAGTCTGTCATTTTATCAAAGGTTTCTGTGGAAATGTGGAATCAAATCTGTTTAAAAAAATGATTTTGTCTTGATTTGATGCACAAAAGAAATAAGTCTTTTCTAGGTTAAATACCAAACAAACTCCCAAATTATTAATAAGGTTCACATTTTGATGATAAAATGTGAATAAAAGGCATGCTTTCCATATTTCTAAGATACAGAAATACGGACAGCATGCCTGGAATCCAGAGATGAGCTTATTATCAGAACCCAGTATCTCCGGTCTGAGCTCAGTCGCTGTTTATAACTGCTCTCTTTCACAGCGGAAAATATTCCTCCCTTCTCACCAGCCAACCAGACAGACAGAGATAGACAGACAAGCACTCTGGGAGACAGATAGCTCAGCTCAAACAATTGTCCATCCTATGAAAGATAAACTGAGAGAAATCTGGCTTCAGCTGCACAGACATGAACACACAGGTGCATACAGACGATACAGACACACACACAGCCTTGTAGTACTATCTTCGTGAGGACCCATCATTGACTTAATGCATTCCCTTGCCCCCTTACCCTAACCTTAATCATCACAAATACATGCCTAACCTTAACCTTTGCTCTAACCCTTAACCTTAACCTAAACTAACCTAAGTCTTGCCCTGTAAGCCCTAAAAAGCGCTGTAAACTTGTGAGGTCCAGCATTTTGGTCTTCACTAATCTGTCTGACCCCACAAGTACAGCAGAATCCCAGTTTTTGGACCC